GCAGGCGAAACGTCAGGAGAAATGCCTCTAGAACATGGCCATATAGCCCGAAAAAACCCACAAGAACTAAGCAAAATACTACTACCCAAGCAACAACTTTTTCTTATATTTCATAATATTTTTTTCACTTATGTCTTTGTGAACTCTTCCCTTTTTCTTGTTGTTTTCTTTGTCTTTTGGCTGCTCTTTAGGAATTTACTAAAGAAATTGCTGAAAAATATTCCTTGATGTCATCAGTGCTGAGCACCGGCAATCAGCTCTTGCTTCTCAAGGAATCAGATGCTGCGGTGCTGCGGTCGTCTTTGACAGAGTATGAACAGAAGTGGGCTGATCTGACTTCCCAGTTGCCAGGCATCCAAGAGAAGTTTCACCAGGTAAAAAAAGAAAATCAAGAGCCCAGTATTCAGCGCTGCTATATTGTGCAGCTCAATCATGCTTGTATTCAGCGGCTTCCTAGCTATAATCTTGCCTACGCAAGATCTTTCAGTATTAAATGCTACTGTTATTGCAGCTTTCTTATGAATCAAAGATGACAAGAATTTGCATAAAACTAAAAGATATAATCCTGCAAACAAGTAAATGTGCTGAAGTCCCATTGATTTCATATTCTGGGATGTGCCTGACAAGTTCTTCAGCAGTCTTCACAGTCCTTCAAGTGTGATTTGTTGTAGTAGTTGTGTCCCTAATGTAAATCATTTTCCTTGCTCCCATTTCAGCTCATGCACTTGTAAAATCTATGCTTCTTTTAAAATTGTGAATGTTAAGGAATACTGTCCAAGAACATGAGTAGGGAATTTAAAAGGCTGTGCCTCCATGGCGGACAGAGAGAGAGAGATGTGCCACTTCACAGAAAAACAAGGGAACAATAAATGCTCTCTTGTCCAAACAAGCAGATGGGCAACATGTACTGACTGCATTTGGCCCCTTCTTCCTCCATTGTTTCTGCAATTCCCACTGCACTGTCTCATAGTGAAATCACAGCTTTTTAACACAAAAACAAGATATGTAATGGTCACATTCCATTTAAAAAGAAAGCCTCCAGGAAGCCTAATCCTCCTGAAAAGCAAGGTGCACTCCATCCACACATCTTGCTCCTGCAAGAAAGCATGGGTGCATACACCAAACTGTTATCTTGAATGGATAACATAAAAGCATAAAGAAGAAGCATCATTCATGAATAATTAAATCCATAAAAATCAAACCTTCAGGTATGAGTGTTAGAATGATTCCATAATTATTTTCCAGCTCCAGATGGCAAAGTTGCCATCCCATGAGGCCATCACAGAATTGACTGCCTGGATGAACCACATTGACCAACAAAAAAGCAACAAGGCTACTATTGATTTGCAGAGTTCTGCGGCCCAAGTGAAAGGCCTACTTAAAGAATACAAGGTAAGACACTACAGGAACAACTTTTCTAGAAGCTAATACTATAGCAAGTAGAAATACAATAATCTGCATGAGGAATCACAATGAAGAAGCTTTCCCATCAGTGACCAGAATTGCTATTTGTTTTACATTGGAGCACTAAGAAAATATTATTCAGCTCCTGAGGAAACAGTAGCTATTCTTCTTGACGTTGTTGTTGTTATTTGAAACACAACAAGATTAGTACACAGCAAACAAGATTACTATGCTAGCTTTTGTATTTGATCACATTCGGACACTTCCCAAGTGTCTAAGGCTTTGTGATGTTTTGGTGAATAATGCATGCAGATTTGAGTATGGTGGCCTTTTTGCAGCTGACAGATTATAATTTTGTCAGTGCCAATTGTTTTTAAGTGCAGGCCAAGGACTTTAGGCACTGCACCCAGTGTGCCGATCACCACTGGGACCACTTTGACTGGCTTATGCCAGAGTCTTTGAACTTCGATCTTTAAATCCTCACATTGTGCAAGCTTTTCCAATTATTATTATTATTATTATTTGAAACACAACAAACAAATACAGCAAACAAGGTCACTCTGCTGGCTATTGTATTGAATCACACGTTGGACACTTCCCAAGTGTCTAGGACTGTGTGATGTATCAGCGAATAATGGGTGCAGATCCGAGTAGGGTGGCGTTTTTGCAGATGACAGATGGTAATTTTGTCAGTGCTGATTGTTTTTAAGTGCAGGCCAAGGTCTTTAGGCGCTGCACCCAGTGTGCTGATCACCACTGGGACCACCTTGACTAGCTTGTGCCAGAGTTGTCTTTGACAAATAATAATAATAATAATAATAATAATAATAATAATAATAATAATAATTTATATCCTGCTTTTTCTCTCTAAAAAAGAGACTCAAAACAGCTTACAGTAAAACCAATACAATACAATTTAAAACTTAATTATACAAACATTAGAATATAATTAAACATAGCAGTATTAAAAATGAACAGTTAAACTGTTTTATCACAAATAAGGAACAGCATACTCACTTTCGCATTGGGTGGTTATACCAGTGTTACTGTACACTCATAACATAATGCACAGTGTGTCTTTTTTAACTAGACTGGTAATTTAACAAGCTGGGAAGTGCAATAACCTTCAAGTCCAACATATGCTGTAACTATTAGCAAAGCACTGGGCCATGCAGTCACTGAAATTATAGGTTTTAGTTTTTCTCTAATACCTTTCCGAGTGCCAGGAAAAATGTGTTTTCCACAGGTAAATATAATGTTCAAAGACTGATGTTGTGTTTACTTTTTCAGGAATACCTGTTAGAAATGAATTTCAAACAGTGGGTAGTGGATTACGTCAACCAGTCACTACTACAGATGACGACTTGTGATGTTGAAAGCAAGCGCTACGAGAGGACAGCATTCGCAGAGCGTCTAGGGGAAATGAATTTGCAGTGGCACAATCTGCAAGGGGCTCTTAACGAAAAGGTCTGGTCATCATTTCCTAATTGGTTCTGTCATAAAAACATGGAAAAGGTTTATTGAACTGCAAAAACTTTGTTTTTGTGGGACATCCTGCAATACATTTTGCTCTAGTTTTTCAATGAATATCTCATTGAGTCTCAACCAATTCAACCAATGGCAGCCAGAAAAATGAAGTTTCTGGAGTATAACAACTACTTTCAAAGTATGAACTGCACACTTAAACAGGAAATAATGCTTCCAAACCAGGAACAGAAAAAATTTAAATTCTGTTACATAGTTCAAGCAGACCCTTACTGTTTTTCACAACTGAAAACAGATTGAAAACACCGAGTCCACCAAGACACTACTTTTTTACAGAGTGTACCACTTACTCTACATTCTGAATTTGGCAACAATAAATCTGATACAACAGAGTGAATTATTTTGGGAATTGTTAATCCGCTGGCTTCCTGAATTTAAATTGGAAGTTGGGAGATCTGCAAATTAGGAATCTTCAACGTGCAGCATAGATGTATCATTATCACACTGACTCTGGTTTCTGGGGGACCTTTCACACTACAGGATTATAGCTATATGATTATATTTTAACTTCTGTTTCTAAATTCTGTTCAATCTTGGAACTTTTAGAGTAGTTTGTGGAACGTGAAAACTTCATGGCTGAGAAGTATAATTGCCCCTCCCTAAACTGCAAATCCCTCGTTTCCATAGGATGTTGCCAAAACAGTTAAAATGGACTTATAGCACTATATTTGTGCAGTGTGATAGATCCCACACATTTTTAGGTACCAAAGTTCAGGAATAATATTGACAAACTGGTATAAAACCAGAATAGAGTAACCACAATGATCAAAGATCTGGAAATTAATTCTATGTGAAATAATTTAGCACCTGTGTATGCGTGTTTAGCTTAGAGAAAAAAAGAATGAGAAGAACATTATAGCCATATTTAGATATCTGGAGAAATGTCATGTAGACGATGGAGTGAGCTTGTTTTTTGATGATAGGTACCATCATAGGGACCTATGCTTGCTCTGTATTTTTCCCTCTCAAAAAGAAGTTTTGAAATGGCATATTGTCATATTGAAATGTGTGGATGAGTGCCCTCTGTCAGCTCCAGCTTCTCATACGGGGACATGAGAGAAGCCTCCCATAAGGATGGTAAAACATCAAAACATCCAGGCATCCCCTGGGTAACGTCCTTGCAGACAGCCAGTTCTCTCACACCAGAAGCGACTTGCAGTTTCTCAAGTCACTCCAGATAATAATGCTGAACTATTCATATTGCAGATAAAGGAATTGGAACACATTTTGGAATGTGTTACTGAAAATGAAAGCAAAGCCCAATCTTTGGGCAGCTGGCTAGAAGCACAAAGCAGACAGCTCAACGAAGCAGTGAAACCAGCAAGTTCTCTCTTTGCACGGGATACATCAGAAGTCTGCAAGGTAAGCAGTTGGTATGTGATTGGGATTTAAATTTCAGGTGAATTGATTACTTTGCTTGCTAATAAATAATTGAATAAATTGGAATTTTATTAATGTTTTAATCAATTTTCTTAGTTATTAGTTTATTAATTATTTAATTTTATTGTATGATGTACAATGAGAATAATGTACAATGAGGAGAATGTGTACAAGGTGGAACAACTTTGAAATGTGGTGCTGGAGAAGACTTCTCTGGATACCATGCACTGCTACAGAGGGAAATGAGCAGATCTTAGAGCAAATCAAGCATGGATTCTCCTTCAAAACAAAGATGACTAAACTGAGTAGGGCAGTTAAGGGCCAAAGCTCTTGGAGGTCCATCATTTACAGGATCAGCATAAGCTGAAGCTGACTTGCGATTTTCCAGCTGCTTGGCAAAGGTTGAACTGGACGACCCACGAGGTCTCTTCCAACTATATGATTCTATATTTATTTATTTACGACATTTATATGCCACCCTTCTCACCCTGAAGGGGACTCAGAGCAGCTTACAAGTAAAAAGAAAATACAATATATTATATTATTACCATAGCACAATATTAAAATTATATATTGCACTAGCTGTCCCCTGCCACGTGTTGCTGTAGCCCACATGGGCGTTCTGTGTGGGAGGTTTGGCCCAATTCTATTGTTGGTGGGGTTCAGGTGAACTATAAATCCCAGGAACTACAACTCCCAAATGTCAAGATTCTATTTCCCCCAAACTCCACCAGTGTTCACATTTGGGCATATTGAGTATTCTTTGGTCTAGATCCATGATTGTTTGAGTCCACAGTCATCTTTGGATGTAGGTGAACTACAACTCCAAAACCAAAGGACACTGCCCACCAAACCCTTCCAGTGTTTTCTGTTGGTCATGGGAGAACTGTGTGTCAAGTTTGGTTCAATTCCATAGTTGTTGGGGTTCAGAATGTTCTTTCATTGTAGGTGAACTATAAATCCCAGCAACTACAACTCCCAAATGACAAAATCTATTTTTTTTTTTTGAGTGAAGGACATGCATTGGGTTGTTAGATGTCTTGTCTCCAAATTTGGTGTCAATTCGTCCAGTAGTTTTGGAGTTCTGTTAAGCCCACCAATGAACATTACATTTTTATTTATATAGATTGTACTATAACATTATACTGTAATATTATTAATAATATTACGTTTAATATAAAATATATAATTATAATATCATATTATTATTATTATTAGTAGTAGTAGTATAAATGAATATCTTGTAAATTATCCACAGAGAAGAACATTCATTCCTTTCCCTCTCCTGGTCCCTTTTTCCAGGTAGTAGAAAACGAGCTTGCAGCTAAGTCGAAGGATGTGGACCACTTGAAACAAATGTATGCACTTGTAGAACACAATACCGAAGCTTCTGAGAAGCCTGCGTTAGATATCAATCATTTGGCTGAACTGAGGGCTAATGTAGCCAATCAGGTAAATACTTTGGTTTTGGATAATCGTTAAAAGCTAAGGATTATTTCTGAGTATGATCTTTCTGATTCCTGTGCAATAGTTATTGACTGAACCAGTAGATGATTGCCAGGTTAGGATTTGATATTCTGGCTCAGCATAGTCAGTTGCTGAATGTGAAATTGCCAGATGAACACTAATACGTGTATCTTTAGTACTGTGATGGATTTGCTCATTTTGAATTTTCTCCCAAACTCCAAAAATGTCCTTGAGTGGAGGAAAAGGAGAAACTCAGCAATTTCTTTCTAATGGTGACTAGCGTACTACGTTTCTAAGACAGTCTAAGTAGGTAATAGAAGCTACATGGCCTTTCAGATATCTGGATTGTTGTAGGTTTTTTCGGGATATATGGCCATGTTCTAGAGGCATTCTCTCCTGACGTTTCACCTGCATCTATGGCAAGCATCCTTGCCATAGATGCAGGCGAAACGTCAGGAGAGAATGCCTCTAGAACATGGCCATATAACCTGAAAAACACCCTACAACAACCCAGTGATTCTGGCCATGAATGCCTTCAACAATACTTTCAGATATCGTTGGCTTTCTTCCCCCATCATCTGTTATCATTGACTGTGCTGGCTAGGGCTTACGGTCGTAGCAATCCCTACAACATCTGGAGACACAAAATTGTTGAGTGAGTGGGCTTATTAACAAAAGACCCTCCCCATAAATGCACAGCAGAGTAACTTATTAGCAGCAACATGACCCAGCACCAGTAGCCAAAAATGATAAAAAGAACAAAAACACACAGACCAATGTTATCTCTTCCATAGGAGGCTTTTCTTTGTAGCAAAATAATGTGGTTGCACTATTTACAAAATTAAGGTTTCCATAACACAAAGCTTTTATACTTCCTTCTTTGTTTCTTTGCTCCCTGAGCTTCTTTCTCATGCAGAGAAACAGCTTCCAGCTTTGCTCTCACAGAGCCTATTCTCATACCGAACTGTCACAGGAGCTTCACACAACAACAACAACAACAACAACAACACTTTATTTATATAGCGCTCTATCTTCCCGAGGGGACACAGAGCAGTTTCCAAGTAACATCATCAATATAACAGAGTAAACAACATAACATAACATTAACAAAACAACATAAGCATAAAGTTATCACAATTTTTTTTTGTCGTTTCAGGAGCAACTTGAGAAACTGCAAGTTGCTTCTGGTGTGAGAGAATTAGCCGTCTGCAAGGACATTGCCCAGGAGACGCCCGGATGATTTGATGTTTTTATCATCCTTGTAGGAGGCTTCTCTCATGTCCCCACATGAGGAGCTGGAGCTGATAGAGGGAGCTCATCCGCCTCTCCCCGGATTTGAACCTGCAACCTTTCGGTCTTCAGTCCTGCCGGCACAGGGGTTTAACCCACTGCGCCACCGGGGGCTCCAATTATCACAATAACACGTATATATTAAAAAGAATCCTGCCTGTTCAGAGCAATTAAAAGGCCAGGTCGAGGCTAGTGCAAACTCAAAATATGAGGAATGTCATGCAGCCGATGGAGTGAGCTTGTTTTTGATGATGGGTACCATCATAGGGACCTATGCTTGCTCTGTATTTTTCCCTCTTAAAAAGAATTTTTGAAATGACATTTTGTCATATTGATATTGTGTGAATGAGCTTCCTTTGTCAGCTCCGGCTCCCCATACGGGAACATGGGAGACGTCTCCCAAAGGATGGTAAAACATCAACACATCCAGGCGTCCCCTGGATGACATCCTTGCAGACGGCCAATTCTCTCACACCAGAAGCGACTTGCAGTTTCTCAAGTCACTCCTGACATGAAAAAACAACAACATATTATTCCAATAATACTGAACTACTCATGTTGCAGATAAAGAAATTGGAACACATTTTGGAATCTGTTACTGAAATTGAAAGCAAAGCCCAATCATAAATATAAAATTAACAAAGCAATATAAACATAAAAAATCACAATAGCACATATATATTTAAAATAATCCTGCCTGTTCAGGCAATTTTAAAAGGCCGGACTGAGGCAAGTGCAATTTCTAGAGGGCCTGGGAAATTAGATGCAATGCTATAGCAGGCTACAACAACAATAGGTATAGTCTATGGCTGTTCATTTCCGGGACCTAATAGGATGAAGTGACCTGGGTAATTGGGAGAAAAAGATATGGTCCTATTCAACAATATCTGGGGCTGAGCTAGAACTAGTTGTTCTCAAAGGCTTGTTTAAACCTCCAGGTCTTCAAGCTCTTATGGAAGGAGGGGAGGGATGGGGACTGTTATATTTTTCTAGGAAGGGTGTAGATTCACACACAGCGGCCTTCATGTTGGAACTTCACACACGAGGTCTCCAACCTGGGGCTTCTCTCACCAGACCTTCTCAGACTGAGGCTGACTAAGCTATAAGCACACCTGCATATATTGATGTGCAGCTTTTGCTGAGGCATTGCACACATTTTAACCCTTTTAGTGCTTGAATCACATTTTTGTAATTAAAAACACCTAGTTAATTTTTAATATTTCTGACAAAAATGTCTTATTTCCCAGCAGGGTGGTCCCAATGGTCAGGAATCCAAGGTTGATGCAAACAAAGGCACAGGAAGCAAGTTGAGAAAGTAGGCATCATACTCAGAAAGCAAAGAGGAAGTCAGAGAAAGAGGGACTTGGCAGCCTTGCATTTCTATTAGGAGAGGAAAGCAGGGTATAAATATAACAGCAGCAACAACAACAACAAAATGATTATAATAGCAAGTCAGGTAAAGCAGGAGAAAGGAATTGACAGCCAAGTTCAGCCTTTGAAAGTAGTCTAGGTCAAATAACAACTAGGCAAGGATAGTCTGAAGGCCATACCAAAGGTGGGGACCAACAGATTGGTCACATAAAGAATCAAATATAGTCACATATAAAATTAGCTCTCAAGGTCTAGAACACCATATGATAAATACTGTATTGTCGAAGACTTTCATGGCCAGAATCACTGGGTTGTAGGTTTTTCGGGCTGTACGTCCAACTTCTAGAACATGACCATACAGCCTGAAAAACCTATTTATTTATGTATTTATTTATTTACAGTATTTATATTCCACCCTTCTCACCTTGCAGGGGACTCAGGGCGGTTTACAATGTCCATATACATGGCAAACATTCAATGCCATAGACACACAACGTATATCCAAACACAGAGGCAATTTAACATTCTAGCTTTTCTTGAGGGTATTTTGGCCACCAGGGGAGCTGTCCCTTCACCAACCATTTGTGACACTGATGAAGTACTTCCTCATTCTTTGCATGCTTGCTGGAGATTTTTATGGCCTCGTAAATTAGTTAAATTTGCTTCCCCACATAAGCGGTACCTAAATTTCCTACTTGACAGATGCAACTGACTTTCGGGCTGCAAAGGTCAACCGCAAGCTACACAAATTGGTTGGACGCTCACTCCAACCCAGGCTGACTTCGAACTCATGACCTTTCGGTCAGTAGTGATCTTAATGCAGCTGACTCCCAGCCAGCTGTGCCACAGTCCCAGTGCAAAACCTACAACAACCCATGATAAATATTATTTCCAGCAGTCCCACAAGCTAGATATTGAGACTTTTGTCATTACAGTAGGCTCCACTAGGAGCTCAGATCCATAATCTCACCCAACAGGGAGAATACTTTTCAAAATACTCGTCCTTCCATATAATGAGAAAATGAGCAAAGATTTAAAATTCTAGGATTGCACAGCGAAACTCTAGCCGTCACTATGGAGCCCGTTTGTCTGTATCTAAGCTATACTGAATCTGAAATGTCAACAGAAATCCAAAACAATTTCATAGCAATTTTCAGCTTTCATGTAACTAGAGCTCACAGCTGAGCTGTCTGTTCCTTTTGCAAATTAAAGCTCTTCAGGAGCCGCTGAATCTGTGAGCGTTCCTGCTGGGATGTCAGCAGCAAGGCAATAAAACCACCTATTTATTCCTGTAAGTCCTCCTGAAACCAGGCTTCCCAGAATGGCAGTGCCTTGGCCTCGAATTGAGTTGATAATGAGAATAATTTTGAGGCTTCACTCTCATACATAATTCTACATGAGCTTCCCCTCCCCGCTTTTGGTGTCTGGTTTGAAGTATGTATCATTACCTCTGAAAATAGTTATATATCAATTTGTTAAATAGCTACAGACATTTTGCGGGGTGGAGACAATGTGTATTAGAATGGAAGCACTGGAAAGAAATGTTAACAGCAGGTACCCCATGGTTTTTAACAGCTGGCGTCCCATTACCAGGTTTCAAGTGTAATTGCATCAGTGTACTTTGTAAACCAGAAATGGCAGTTCTGCTTCCAAGTCTGGCCTCTGTGTTTTTGCAGCTTGTGCAGTTGAAGACCTCGACACAATCTGCTCTGGAGAACTGGAGAATATATGACGAAGTCTGGAGAGAAGTCAGGCAGATGCTTGCAAGAGCTTTGTATTACAGTGAGCATAGCAAGCCTTCTGTGATTACCTTTGACACTGTAAAGAACCAAGTAGCAGATCTCCAGGTAAGACCTGCTCAGAAAGACAAAGGAATACTTTAGACATAAGACATAAAACAAAAAAGGAGAGTCTTCAAGGTCTCTGCTCCAAGGCTGCAGAAGTGGTTTTCCAGAGTGGTTAGGTTGTCCCTCTGCCTGTTTTCTTTCTGCTGATAGAGACCTTCAGGACAAGGGAGAGGCCTTCTCGGTGGTGGCCCTCCAGCTCTGGAATTCTCTCCCCAGAGAGGTTAGGCTGGCTTGCACCCTGTCCATCTTTTGCAAAGAGTTAAAAACGTGGATGTTCCATTGTGCTTTTGATTGGTTGGCTCCCCAGAAATTCCAGCTCCCAGTTATGACCCAAAACTCAATCCCTGCACTTTACTACTGTCCCCTGCCCAGAAGTCTTAGTGTTCTGTCTCATATTGCCCTTGTGCTGTCGCACGCTGGGCCTGAAATAATATCTGTTTACAGGACGTTCTCTCTGTATGCCCAATGGGACGCCGGGGTGCCTCAGCTGAAGGGCCCTTTAGATTTCCCAACACAAAGTTCTATTGAGGCTCAAGATAAGTTCAACAAAGTTCTTTATTTGGGCTTAAATCTTCAAACAAATGAATTAAACACTTTATAACCTTGGAAAACCGGTAGCTTCCTCAATCTGCTATCAAGGGGCAGGCAACTGGAAGTAAACTGTTCCTTTCTTCCTCAGGGAAATCCTTTGACCCCTCCCTGGGCAATCCCTCTTTACCTTGCTGGTGTGAGGCCCCTACTCCCAGCTCCAAGCTGCTTTATGGATAGCCCAAGTGGTCCCTTACCAGGCAAGGTTCCTGTAGATCTGCCAAGCTGAAAGGTGTCCTTTAGTTTCTCCACGAAGGCTGTAGGAACTATTTCTTTAACCCCAGCAAAAGCTGGCTGTATTCCCCCAGCAAAAGCTGAGGAAATTCCTTTACTCCCCCAGCAGAGCTGTGAGAAGTGAAGCTTTTGTGCAGGTGGGAAAGAGAATCTCACAGTGAACAGTGAGACTGATCAAAGGTTCTCCTTTGCCTCCAAAGCCCTGGGAAAAGGAGCGGGTCTAAAGATTCTAATGATGATTGCCAAGTTGTTGGCCCTATGATTGCAACCTGAGGGAAGCTACCTTATTGCAAAATGCATGGCTTAAATAGATTCATGCAAACTAGCAGTGCAAGAAAAGAAATTCAAATCTCCTGTCATTGCCATGCCAGCACAGCCCTTATCCCCAATTTTGTCATCTGGCACTTGCACTTTATCATCCCTGCCCTCATTTGATTTGTAACCCACTCCCCCCCCCCACCCCCAAAAAGTGCCTAGAACTGTTTTGCTATTTCAGGTACTGGTTGTCTGTGTGATGGTTTTTGCACTGTGTTGTGCTGTTGTTTGTTTTATTTTGTTTTTACTGCTGTTTTAATGAATTTTAATGTGTTATATTTTAACTATGTTTGCTTGGGCATGTCCCCATCTAAGCCATCCCAAGTCGCTTTGTGGTACAAAATAAAGTAGTAGTAGTAGTAGTAGTAATTGTTGTTGTTGTTGTTACTATTATTATTATTATTATTATTGGACTAGATAATTGCAAAGGACTAGAGTATTGTCACATGCACCTAAGGCAGGCATGGGCAACCTTTAGCCCTCCAGGTGTTTTGGACTTGAACTCCCACAACTCCTAACAGCCCACTGGCTCTTAGGAATTGTGGGAGTTCAAGTGCAAAACACCTGGAGGGCCCAAGTTTTCCCATGCCTGACCTAAGCAATACTTCCCTATGCCTGCTAGAGGCTGCCATCTGTGTTTTTAATTATATTGTCTTTACGAATCGTGCTGTAAGCTGTCTTGAACAGATAAAGAGATAAGGATAGCGTTCTCTCTCTCTCTCTCTCTCTCTCTCTCTCTCTCTATATATATATATATATATATATATATATATATATATATATACGCTTTCAGGTTATAACAAACTCTGTGGCAATTCTTTCCAGGGTCTCCAAGATAAAACAGAAAATAATGAAGAAATCTGGGCTAGGCTCCAAGCTGCTGTGGCTAACCTTAAGAAGCTGTGTGATCCCTTGTTTTTACAGCTTATTGAACATAAAAACCAAAAGGCACGGACAAGGTATAATGAATACATGTTTAGTTTTTTAAAAAAATAGAGCAAGTGAGGATTTTGCAATGTTCCAGATATTTAGGGATTGTAACTCTCATTACTTCTTACCTTTTGCTGTGGTTTTTTTGGGGGTGTTTGGATTTGCAGTCCATCAGTATGTGGAAGGTCATATCAATGCTGTGTCTATGGTTTGGTAAGTCAGACATCTGTTATGTTAAGGCTCAGCCATCTAAATAAGAGAGAAAGAGAATAGCGGGTTGTAGGTTTTTTCGGGCTATATGGCCATGTTCTAGAGGCATTCTCTCCTGACATTTCACCTGCATCTATGGCAAGCATCCTCAGAGGTAGTGAGGTCTGTTGGAACTAGGAAAATGGGTTTATATATCTGTGGAAAGACCAGAGAATAGTCTTGCCATTGTTGTCCATATTCTCTGGCATGTGCCCATGCCCACCTGCGAGATGCGAAGAAAATCAAGATTGGAAACTCTGGCAACCACATCTGGGTGTCTTACTTTTCAAGCAGTTTTCACCCATTGTTGCCCTCCAGATGTGTTATGCTGCTCTCTGTATCAGTTCTAGCCAGTGAACATCCAGGTCCAGAGTGATAGGTTTAGTCGTCCAATACATATGGTAGGATTCCAGGTTGAGGAAGGTTGGCTTACTGTTTCACTTAAATAAAGATGAATTGACTCAGTCAAAGAAGTTCAACCATGAGATTGCTGTTGGTCACCAGGGTTCCTAAAGGTTTCTCATTCATAAGGTTGTTATAGGTCAAAGTTGTCTTCACTCCAAATAACACCAGTCTTCATCAACAATGGAGCAATGTGTCCAAAGGAGATATTTAAAGTTCTCTTCCTTTGTGGCCTGCAAAATTGGTTGATACAGCCATTGTCAGGCATTGCATATGTGTGATGAATACTTTACTTTGTGGTCAGGAGCTTGTTATGACCTCTGTTTTTTGCTGTTAAGACTATGGTTATTGCTGCATGTATTCATGTCATTTCCAACTTTTAGTGCCTTATGGGACTAAGAAAGTATAACCCACCCAATATCATTAAATGGTTGTCGTGTCTGAGTAGGGAATTAAACCCCAGTCTCCAGATTGTCATCCAACACTCAAGCCCTTATGACTCTCCAATCCACTATATATTTTCTTGGAAACTAATCATTGAGCTCAGAGGCTTGCTTCTGAGTAGGCTTGTGTAGGATTAAATGGTCGTACAGGTAAAACCAAACAGTAAATAAATAGCAACACTCAAAAAGCAGTGAAATTCCAGACAAGAATCAATCAGGGTCAGGTAACACCTCCCAACAAAGGATTCCCCCAGGCTGCAACCAGCCAGGCACTGAAGTTGCAAGGCCATTAAATACTCATCAAGGTGTCCAGTTGCAACATTCAGCAGGCAAGAGTTCTTTCTCACACCCTGCACATTCCACACACATATAAACCTCACTTGCCTAGTTTCCAACAGACCCCTCAACTTCTGAGGAAACGTCAGGAGAGAAGGCTTCTGGAACGTGGCCATACAGCCCGGAAAACTCACAGCAACCCAATAAAACCAAACAATTTGTGATATTTAAAATAATTTTACTGAACACATTTCTCTGTTTTTTTCTAGAATGAACCACTGGAGAATTTTAAAATTATTATTGTAATGATATTAAGGAAAAGGAAAAGATGATTTTACTTTTTGATTTCTAATTTTGATAGATGGGCATTGATAAACAAGGAAATTGAAGATCAACTGCAGAAAGCACAAACTTATTTACCCCTTTGGAAGTCGTATGTAGATTTGTATGCTGAAGTGTCTGCCAAACTGGACAAACATGAAGAACAGTGCAATTCCCTTTGGGCGGTAAACATACCTGCAGGCTGTACAAGAGACTTCCTCAACGAGAAATCACAGGATGTGAAGGTAGGTCCATGGCATTGTAACAAGATCTGGTTGATAATAAGCAGGAAGGATAATGGAAAGGAAAGATAGAAGACCCACTCAACCTCTTTTTAGTTCATTTAAAAACCCACCTCTCACCAAACTCCAAATCTCAGGATTCCATAGCATTTGGTCATGGGAGATGACGTGTCAAACCATACTAATTCTACAGTGTTGGTCAGTGGTTCTCAACCTGTGGATCCCCAGATGTTTCAGCCTTCAACTCCCAGAAATCCTAACTGCTGGTAAACTGATTGGGATTTCTGGGAGTTGTAAGACAAAAGACCTGGGGACCCACAGGTTCAGGACCACTGGTTAGATGCCTCCATTTATCCTATTTAATGAGGAAGTAAAATGGCTTTGACCCAGCCACATTGCTAGTGTTGGCTCTTCTGTTAGGTCTGAAGAAAAACAAGGGAAAGTGAGACACACCAATGGTAACTTCTATGTCAATGTGGTGATAAATCTGCTCCTAAGTTAAGCCTGGACATTAATGTCGATATATTGTGTTTTGCGGGAGAGGGCTCCACACCTTGGAAGACACCTTTAAAATGTGAACTAAGACCTGTAGCAAATTCATTTGACCTACAGACATGGATTTCATCAGCACCACATTAAAGATTTTCAGAGTATTTATTTTAGAGTCTGCACTGAAGTTTTTCAGATGGAATATGTTAAGAGTTCTCCTTCCATTTTCTCAAGCAGAAGACTGCAAAATGTGGCCCTAAGTAGTGTACCAACTTCATTTAGGCGTTCCCTCGTAGCCCGAGGATGATGGTCCTCCAAGTCTAGTGTCTTGGTGGTGGGTTCATAGGTGACTGTGGAGCCCTATTCTTGATCCGCATGTTTTCCCTCAGTGAGGGCATCGGTTTCCAGGTGGAAGGTGGTCCCGGTTAAGGTTGGCTTGACGTGCCTTCCTCTTGGAAGGTCAGATTGCTAACAGGATCTTCGTACAGGGAAAGATCCACTCCCATGTTGCGGCAGCTCCACTGGCTGCTTGTCTGCTTCCACGCTAAATACAAAGTCCTGGTCATTACCTTTAAAGCCCTAAACAGCTTGGGCCAAGGCTATTTGACCGATCACATCTCCTCTTACAAACCAGCCCAGGCACTGCGGTCATCAGAGGAGGCCCTGCTCTCCGTCCCACCCTCATCCCAAGCACGGTTGGTGGGAATGAGAGAGAGGCCCTTTCCCGTGGTTGCCCACAATCTCTGGAACTCCCTCCCTAAAAAAATAAAGCTGTCCCCTCTCCTTTAAAAAGCAACTGAAGATCTACTTATGCACACTATCATATTGAGAGGAGGAGGATTCAGTGGTTGAGAGATCATTGCTGGGCTTCTGGTTGAGGCTTCCCAGGTCCACACCAGCCCAACGACCACATACCCAACCCGCACTGTTTGGTGAACCATTGCTGGCTGTTGTACACTAGTGTGGATGTTTTGTTTAGATTAGAATTTATTATAGAATTTTGTTTGGCTACGTGTAGTTTAATTTATTGATGTCAGGTTTAATTTACTGATGCTAGGTTTTTAATTTGATGTTAGGTTTCAATGCTACTTTTATATGCGGGGTTTTTCTGGGATTTTATGTCAGTATCATGTGTTTTATGTAGGCATTGAATGTTTGCCATTGAATGTTTGCCTTTGGAGAGTGACCGTACATCCCATTTCCATTTGTTCCATCTTCAGTGTTGTCCTCATGATGCACTTTCCCCCGTCTTTAATGAAGGCCTAACCTCATTGATCGTCCTTTTTGGGCTCCTCCCTCACAAATACACCTTTTCTACTCCTTTCTCATCCAGGGTTTTATCATTTTATCTTGTGCATTTGGCCCGCCCATTGTGTTCGACTTTCTATTATGTTATTTTGCACTGTTTATTCTATTTTGTTGCTTTATGTATTTTATTGTGATGTAATTTTTTGTTGCTTTGTATTTTATTTTGGTATATTGTATCTTGGGGCTTGGCCTCATGTTAGCCGCCCCAAGTCCATTTGGGGAGATGGTAGCAGAGTATAAATAAAGTTGATTATTATTATTATTATTATGTTGGAATCCGCTCTAAGTCCCCTTGGGGAGATAGGGCGGAATACAAATAAATTATTATTATTATTATTATTATTATTATTATTATTATTATTATTATTGGCATGTTTCTCCCTTTCACCCTCCATTCATGCCTCTTTGAATTCCACAACACTGCTGGTCACAGCTGACTTCCAGTTAGAGTGCTGAAGGGCCAAGGCTTCCCAATTACTATACTCAAGAATGGGAAATGCAACTATGGTGGACAGGAAAAGAGATTTAAGGATGGGCTTAAATCCATCCTTAAAAACTGTGCCATAGGCATCGAGAACTAAGTAGTGTAGCATGGATGGGAAAAATAAAAATGATACACAGAGAACGAAGATGCTCAAAGCAATTTGACAAAGCTGGTACCTTGGCAGTCTTTCTTTATGGGCGGAGGAAGGGGATGAAGAATCTCTTCTGAAGTGTATAATTTAAAACAATTTTCACTTAACACCAACTACCTAGAAAATCGTGCTTTTTGGGAAAGAACCACAGCTGTGCTGTTAATGGGCATGGAGCAGGAATAAAATGTTAATTTACTGCCATTAAAGAGAAATTTCGCCAGTGTAACTCATGCCTGCCAGGCCCACTAAGCATTTTCCTGCTTTGCAAGCACGCCCTTGGGTCCAAATGGCTCTTTTATATTTAAAGCGATCCATCTTTTAATTTTTTCCCCATTAGGCTTCCATGCGATTTATTAAGGTTGCAAAAGCATTTCTAGCCATTTGGTTAAAAAAAGACCTGCCAGTCACCTAAAACTGTTAGCAGAGAAAAGGGGAAAAGGTTAGACTTAAAAGCACATCAAGTGGCCAAACGGATCCACAAGTGAAAAGAGTGTCATATTTTTTGTCCACCACCCCATCCATTAGGGTTCTTCTTTGGTATTATTCTTTACAAAAGAGAGAATTGTTTGATTCTTCTCCATGGATATTGGGAAGGGACTACTATTAGCACCAGCTGGATTTAAAAGCAGCTTTGTATCTGGCAAAATTATTTGTGGGAAGAGAGGCACAGAATGGTTCCCCTGCAAAGCTTCTGCCAGGTAACATCTAATAAAATAGCTGAAGTTATCGTGTCAGAAGCAAATTGAGAATACAGTTATAATGCATTTTTAAAAAGCCACAAACAAAGTTAAAAACTTGGCATTGTACTAAATTTCATCAAGTTTGCAGACGACACCAAATTGGGAGGGATAGCCAATACTCCAGAGGACAGGAGCAGGATTCA